AGCTGCTAAATATTGTTTGACCTTCCGTACTGGTTGATATAACACGTTATGGATGATTAGAGGGTAGAGGACAAGAAACGGCGAAAACGCAAATGTAAGTAAATTGTTAACTTTGTAAATATTTATACATTATTATTCATGAAGACGCCCGGGCTTATTATTCTCGTGTCTCCAGAAAAAAAAGATGTATCTTGACTAGCTCTTGCTATCCGTAAGCATCGATTAAAGGAGGTCTACATATGTATTTGCTTATGTGTTTGTAAGGCTTTTACTCCAAAACTGTATTAGCTTGTATTTTAACCACGCAATGAAAGACTAATGAAGTATCATAGTGACTGGCTGTCCTGGCGTGACCAAATTCGCCGGCAAATTATTTTCTTGCACAGGCCACCTGTGTGAGTAACCTAGTAAAAAGATAATTTCGACCGCGAAATGGATAAAATCCTAGGTTCAATACTGGAACAAGTTTGACTAGTGTTCGTAAGCTTTTGTAGACGAGCAGGCAGCACCACTGAAAATAAGCAGATGGCTGCGAAAAAACTGCATCGTTTATTCAACCGACAGGTCTATGTGCTGAGGGAAGCTCGCTGTATGTAAAATGTGGTATAAAAGTAAAGTCTTCACGTGTCAAGTGGCTTAACATACAAGGACGAGCAGTTCAACGCATGTTAACCCCTACTGAGCATTTTGTAAAGCTCCCTGACAGTTGGCAGGTACCCATTTATACTCCTGAGTAGACAGAGGCACTGTGAAAGGGGCGAACTGCACCGTTTACGAGGTGCTTTATAATTGGCCAAACGAAACAATAAACAAATTAACAACAGATTAACAACACAAACAATAGTTCGTATAGTGTGATCGTCCGGGTGAGTGTAGTTCTGAATAGTGTTTGTCAGTCGATGATGTTATAAGTCTGGTCCGTTGAACGTGATTGGTCAGTATAGCCATGATAGTATTGGCTGAAAGACTCGTGCAAAGTTTGTCATCAGTCATTGGTGGNCATCAGTCATTGGTGGGTTTCGATCCGTCTATTGTTAGTCAAATAGGTCGGTTTTTGGTTCGTGTATTGTCAAGTCGGTCTGTTAGAAGTCCGTTTGTCGGTTTCGTTTCCGTCGGTCTAACAGACCGACTTAACAATACACGGACCAAAACCATTTACTATAACACAAACAAAACCCCTAGCTCAAAGAACAGAAGAGTTGCAGATTAACAAGAACGAATAAAAATAGAGGTCCTAAAGAGGTGCAGGTCAACTGCTGTGAAAGTAAAGTGTTTAGCTTGCTCTAGAAGGCGACACGGCGCACGACTCGCGAATGTGAAGTAACTTACTACAAAGGACGAGGAGAACAAAACGTTGGATTACCAAACACACGGTAAGAACACTACATAATGTAAGTAAAGCAAATTAAAGTAAGCATGCAGTTAGTCGTTTTCTTTCAGACGTCTTATTGGCCGTTTTCTCACTAGAGACGGATAATCCGTCTATTTACCTCCGTCCGATTATCCGTCTGTATAGACGGATAATCGCACGGATAAAAATAGACGGATTATCCGTCTAAAATGAACACCGTTCCGTTTTCACACTAAGACAAATTGTCCGTAATGGACG